GCAGCTCCTCAGTAAACCAGCAACCATGACATATTTGACATGTGGGAGTGACATGTCAAAGCTGCAGAATTGTTGAACCTCAATGGACAACACAGCAGTTTTAGATGCAAATAGAGATAGAAAATATTTGTAGTTATATGATGATGCACTTGACTGGGAAAAAGGTTAAAGTGAAGTAAACCAAGACCATTAGAACGATTTCACATAACCGGATAAAAAAATGCTAATGAGGATCAATTTATGCTAATTCACGTTACACGATTTTACACGTGGAACAACAAGGATTTTGATGAACACTTTAGCTTTACTTAGTTGACGTACAGATTTGTTTTAAATAACATTTAATTTATAATGCAAACATTAAATTTGCGATCGTGTTTGTTTAATAGTCAAGTCAGAGTAATTTTGCTCTTAAAAATACATGGTATTTGTTCATTAGTTTTTTCTTACACAGTTTTAGCCAACATTGCAGCGACAGCGTTCATGGTATCCATGCCTTTTTCACACACATGGACAACAATTTGATACAAGCTACCGTATTTACCCATGTATAAGCCACACTTTTTTCCAAAAAAATCGTTCCCAAATCGGGGGTGCGGCTTATCTACGAGAAGACTTTTAAAAATGCCCAATAAAAACTAATTTGCATAAATTAGCATTCGCGGTGCTACTTATTACAGACAGGACATCAGTGTTTTACATGGCGGGAACAGAAATTTTAATCCAAAATTTTCAGTATTACTATAAATTCTCCGAAAATCTAGCTCTGAGAAACACAAGTCAATAAATCAAACTGAAAAGTGCGTGGTTATTGAGCCAATGAAGTTTCAATCGTTTTGTCTTAGAGTTGTTTTGGTAACGCGATGCTAAKTTGCATTGATCAATTAAGCGACTTTGTCACACTTAAAGTGAAGAATACAGGGTAAATATTTTGAATACCCAAGAAATAAGACTAAGAAATTGTTCCTTATATTAAACAAATACAATCTGCTTTGATATTTTTTTGAAATACGAAACGGTTTCGGCATGATCCTTATGTTTAGAAGTTTGGCGGCACGATGAGATTTATATCACTCAAGTTACTTACTAGTTTGCTTTTACCTTTTGAATGAAAAACAACTCTTTAAAGTATCAATTATCAATCTTAACAATTATGTCTCCAAGATCAAATTCATCATAGTACACCGTACGTTAAATAAACAGATTGTAATTGCATACGAAATGCATGGATCACGGAAATCGAGCAGGGGAAAAGCACTTTAAAATCAAAGAAAGCTGTGTTCGMAAGTGGCGATCAAAAAGAGAAAAGTTTATTTTCCGTCTTTTTTTTTCCTCAAAAAYRTTYCTAAAACTCRGGGTRCRGCTTATCTACGAGAGCGGCTTATACATGGGTAAATACGGTATTCTCATTGTTTAATGTGTATTAGCATAAATTGATCCTCCATTAGCATTTTTTATCCGGCTATGTGAAATCGTTCTATTATTTCCAGTTATACCAGTTATTTCAAGTTATACCAGTCCTGTTCGTCCGCAGTTGCAGAGCTTGAGTTGGCAGAGTCTCTTGATTACTCATTGGGAACTACAACCTGAGAGACTCTGCTAACAGGAAAATTACCAAGAATAGACTTTTTTCCAAAATGGCTGGTAATCATTAGCATTATTTTTTTCAGCCTTACTTTAAAAAATAACCTCAGATATACCAAAGAATATGTTTCAAGTAGAAGCTGTGTAAAATTTAGCTTTTTTAATAAAACCTGAAAAAGAAAAGAAAAAAAAGAAAGTACATTATTGATCCCAACCTGTCTGAAATGTCCAATTTGGATACCTGTCTGTGTAAGTCTAGTTTCCTGTATTAATTTAACARGGGCATGGTTGATTCCCTGTACACAGAGGGTATAAGTTAATGTCTATATCAAAACAGYTATTGTATTTCATAAGAGATTACATGTTTAAAAGATTTCAAAGAGGCAATGTCAATGATGTTAATGACAAAAGTATGCACCACCTCTTGGTGTGTTTACCATTATTGATGGATTTGTTTAATAAGGAGCTGAGACAGTAATGTCACTGATACTACAAAACTGGAGAGACAAACAAACATACAGGTTGAATTATCACAAATAGCATAACATTGATTTTTAGAAAAAAATACCAGCTRGGAACATTGAATTTTCACCAATTTTACAGGAAGGCACAAAATCTTTGTTTTGAAGTCACTCACAGCAGTACCATTTATGATGTTTTTGATATTTTTGCTTCTCAATTATTAAGTTTATAGTGTACAGTTTGTTCGAGATTTTCATAATGTACACGTGTGTTCTCAGAATGAGCAAGAATCAGCAAGGCAGACAGCAACTTCTGCATCTACTGAGTCAGCAACTGAGAGGAAGCAAAGAGAAACAGATGAGCTTCTAAAAGGAATATTGCCAGATGATGTCATAGATGGAAGTGCTGGTAAATTGATGTTTAAAAATCTGTGCATGTACATGTAAAGGCCTTTGAATAACTGCACATGAAAACATTTCCATGAAAACTTTTTGATAACTATAAATGAGTAATTCACTATTTTCTAAATTATTTCAATTATGAGGGTGTCAATGGGGTTAACTGAATAGCGTATAAGGCTGTTTTTTTCCTAGTCGTAAGCGTATAACTAACGAAGATTTAACTGCTTACCGTATAATGTAGCGTCCAATTTTTAACGTATTTCACTTTCTCATAACCAATTATTGTATCAAAMCATCRTCAAATGGTTGCTTTTTAAGWAGTTGATATTAATTTCTTGTTTTAGTAAACATAAAATTTATAGTTTGGAAGATTTTCTTTGTATTTGATGCTATTTAGCGCCAATGTTATCAAACCGTGACACGTTAGAAATTATGGGRTTATCGTAGAGATGTGTTTTATATTTGGTTACCATGGAAACAATGCAACAAAACATTTTACTGACTAAGGCCTTGATTAAAGGCCCAGTGTGTACCGTTATGCTTTGGGGGTCGGGAGGCDGCCATTTTCAGTTTACCGAAAGTCTATAAATTTCGAATCTTTGACCATCTCACTTTTCTAAGCAGTTTAAATGCTAATATAAGAGTTTTCAACCATCTAAAATTCGTTTTATGGTGATATTTGGAAACTAGAAGTATTTTGGTGTAAATCGTAACAATAACAGGGGCTCRCAAAGYATAATGGTGCAAACTGGGCYTTTAAGGGTGTTTTCATTCATGTAGATCTTTGAAAMCAAACATTTACACCATAAAATGGTCAGATGCTCCTATCCAAAAATCCTTCATACCTCATCTGTAATTACTAAAAATTATATTGTCTGTGCATTTCAAATGTCAGTTACTGTTGCTCTTCAAAAACCAGCCACTACAAAGGCAGAAGGCTCTCCTGTGAAAGCACCAATGACACAAATTATGTGAGTTTTAGCAATTRGTTGTTTCCTTTCAAATCTTTGAGGAAAAAAATATTTGCAATCTCCATTAAAATATTGTACAATCAAAAATACCAGTTGGATTAATTCAAACTTTATTGTTTTAATTTAGACAAAAGAAGGCTCCTGTCTTAGTTGTATCACAAACAGCGCAGACAAATATTCCACCTAAGGAACCAGTATTATATAGTAAAGAGACTCAGACTCCTGTGTTAACCAATCAGAAAGATGATGGTAAGTATTGTATGTCAAAAAAAAGAGTCAGTAGGTTGTTATCATTCTTGTTTGTGTTTGGAACTCAATTCAAGTTTGGAATGTAGTGCCATGTGTGATGTCAGACGCAGTTCGTCTGATTTGCATTCCTGGTTTTAAGTCATCTTTCGATTTCAAGACGTCTTCCAGTGATTCGGGTCCTGTGGACTCAGCACCTTTTCAAGGCTCTACACTAGTATCATTACCGCCCTCTTGTGACATTAAGGCACAAMAATTCTAGAAAATATTAACAAATGTGCTTTCAATCACTGAACACATTGCAAATTCAAGGGAATATTCATTTTATCACACCACAATTTATTATCWCAACACATACAAAGCAATATATATGTATCCCCTTCAMTTAAATTTTATTTGAAATTGGCTGCCCTGCATCTTTAGCATTTTAGCATTTTTGTTTTGTGGAAGTCTCCACAGATCTAGCCACATCCCCCTTTTGAGACCCAGSACAGCAAAYCCAGATTTTTCACTYGCAAGGCTGAATTGCATCATGTGAACCCTAACCCTGAATCAAGGAACCCTAGCCCCTGTCTAAGGTTAAAAGAACCATAACCCTTGTCTAAGGCTGGAATTAACCCTAAGATAAAGTTTTGGGGAGGGGAGAGTGCAGTCTGTAGTTCAAAGGGTTGTTTTTTTGCTTTTTTCAAGGAAATAACTAGCCAACATGATAATTTAGGCTGGAAATAATATGTTATTGGATGCAATTTTTCTTCCATTTTGAAAGGTTTCAAAAATACCCAGAAAAATCACTTTCAATGCAGTTTTTGCATTTGGCCCTTCATTTGTTCAATCATATGACTGTCATGAGTCAAATTATTTTATCTGTTGAATTTTTGTATTATATATTTGGCAGCATTCAGTTAACTTTTATTTTTCTATCAATTGTAGATGATGAAGATGAAGACATCAAGAAATTAAAGAAACCAGAAATTATAGCTGCACCTGAACCAGAGGTCAGAGAAGAGCACAAAGAGGAAGGTACACTACTAATTGAATTCAAGTTTAAAGATGCAGCACATTGTTTGATAGTCCTAAGGACCTGAAATCCATGCTAATGACTTCAACATCCTGTTCNATGATCATAATGAATTATTTTAAAAAGTTCGAACAAATTTTGTATTCTTTATCAACAGATTGACTTTTCATATCTATTCCTCACATCATCGTTTGACTGGACACTGAAACTCTGGAGTCATAAGGTATTTTTCGTGAACATTAATAGCATCGTAGCATTGTGATGATTATGATTATTTTGATAAAAATGATGATAACAACTACATATAAATTACTATAACTGGAGCTGCTGCTATTATAGTTTCTCCATCAAAATTTATAATGATAACGTTGATACGAAATTATCTTTTTAGAGCCATCGTCCAGTGTATTCGTTTGAAGATAATGGTGATTATATMTACGATGTACAGTGGTCTCCTATTCATCCTGCTCTTTTTGCTACCGTTGATGGCATGGGTAAACTAGACCTCTGGAATTTAAATACTGACACAGAGGTATAAAAATCTTTAATTGAAACGATCTATTTGTYAACAGTGCAACAGGAGGGAATAGCCTCGTTTCTAGTAAACAATAGAATAAACAATCAATTTGCACATAGATTCAAGGCTAAGCCCRCTTGCATGGAATTTTGAAAATAGTCAATAGCTACTAGTGATGTATTTACTCACAGGCTTCTCAGGGCTCCTATATTTCCTATCATTTGTGTAGCATATAGAGCATATATTTCATGAAATCCACCTTCATTTCCTAAAAATATGACGACTGAATGATACATTTACGCTATACATTGGAAAAAATTCCGAGAGCCTATTCCTCAAAGTGATTGAAAAAAATGTTTCTGAATATATTATAACATTGCTGGCAACAGTTGTCACTTACAGCTGGCTGGGACAGGAAACCATCGGCTTCTCTTGTAAAATGCAACGTGTATGCTGTTTTTTTGCAAGTCAGTTTGACTTCGATAACTGTTGCATACACGACCTTTCACGAGGACATTCTGTTTGTTTGGGAATCCACAGGCTTAAATCCTCAGGAATAGGTGGGGGTTGGGGGAATATAGCGAGTTTTTAAAAAAATGTAATGTTKTTTTAGGTGCCCATAACCTCTTCTGCTACTGAGATGACGTCACTCAATCGTGTGCGTTGGACCAACTCGGGTCATCAGATAGCCGTTGGAGATGATGATGGCAAAGTTTTTATCTATGACGTCGGGGAGGTAAAGCAGATGAATATAAAAGCTTGATTGCAGCATTTTATGGAAAACATCTTTTCTTTCAACCATATTCTTTTGCTTTATACATGTAGTAAACAATATCTTTAACGTTGTATTCATCCCTTAGCAACTTGCCGTTCCTCGAGCTGATGAGTGGAGTCGTCTCCAGAACACCTTAATWGATATACAAGCCAATGCTTCGTCTTCAGTTAGCGAGACTATTGGATCACCACGAATGTCCCCGTCAAAGATCCCGTTTACTTAAATCTAMCCGCTCGAAAAAAGACGATATCAAATACTCTTGTGTTGAATACACCTATTTTGAATGATGGGAACTAGCGGTAAAGTAATGTGAGCTGCGTCGTGTTTCTAAAGAAACAGTTATGAAATAAGATAAATTTTACACTGTAAAAAGGATGGTAGATAACATACTGACGTTAAGGACGTTAATCCTTCGTCGGAGAAAAGTCATAAAGAGTGTGAGTGAAATGAGTCACATRGAACTTCTACTGTAAATACTGCTTGGGAACTAGAATTTTTGGGTGTATTCTCTCACCTGACTTCGTCTCCCGTGGCCTTCCAGTGAGTTACAAAAATAGGTGTGTTCAACATGTRCAATGTGGAAGGAACCGGCTAAATAGTATACAATTATATTGTGGTACCGTAAATTATTTAAAAAAGCAAGTGCATGGTGTACCGTACACATCAGTATGAGACAATGTATGGAGACAAGAGACAATGCTTCCTATACTTATGTAAAGCTGAAAAGGCGCATGTCAGTTTCAAAATTKAAAATCTGTTATCTAAAAATGGTTATCTTAATTTAGTGGCTTACAATAATTTTAGAAAAATGTTTGGGTATTTACAGCAATGTCGCTACAATGTCGCCTCAACGTGGAACAGGAAAAGGTTTACACGTAGTCCACTAATTTGGGAGCGTTAATTATGGATGACTATTAGACCGATATTATTATCAGAGTATGCARCCTTTGATGAAATAAAGTTTCAGACGTCGTGATTCAAGTGTGTGTTAAAAGAGTTATATGCGATTTCTCGATTAAAATTGCAAAATTAATTCCCCCGGGGAATATGAATATTAGGACCGCATGGCACTATGATCAACACGATATAGGAATGAAAGAAACTTATAGTGCTTAGAGTGGTTTTCATCGGACTGTGAAACAATTACTATTAGTCAGTGTTTAAATAAAGGCGCATGGGCCATAAAGATGTTCGAAGACTGGTGTAACGATAGCCTGATTTTCAGACGGGGCCTGGGTCCTACGCTTCTCTCCGCCCCCAAACAAGAGAAGCGAAATGTAAGAATTGGCAACGAAGCATCCTCCCAAGCTCTTATATCGAAAACTTTGCTAAATATGACGAATCGAGAATTGAATAACTCCCTGGTTTCGTTTTGTTTTGTTGATTTGTTCAATTTGCCYTTTTTAGAAACGARTAGAGGACTGGTAACGAGTTACAAAAAATGGTCCACTCAAAGATATACTTGATCAGGAGAAGAATAACAGCAAAATTAGTAAGTTTATCGACTTTGACATGCTTTTTATAAAGGAGAGCTGAACTT